CAGTGAGCCCCACAGTACACCTACAATATAAGGCCACTCTACTAAGACTGGAGACATAGAAGCCCTACATAATACATAAAACAAACATAGGAAAGCAGCCAAAATAGGACAAAAAAAAATGTCCCAAATGAAAGAACACAACAAAGCTCCAGAAACTGCACTAAACAAAATGGAGACAAGCAATCTACCAGATGCAGAGTTTAAAACATTGGTTATAAGGAAGAGTATATGAACTCAGTGAGAACTTTTACAGAGATAGAAAACCTTGAAATTGAGATAGAAGGCATAAAAAAGAACCAATCATAAATGAAGAATACAATAACTGAAATGAAGAATACATTAGAGGAAATCAACAGTAGATTAGATGAAGCAGAGGATTTAATTAGCAATTTAGAAGATAAGGTAGCAGAAAATACACAATCAAGACAGCGACAAGAAAAACGAATTCAAAAAATTGAAGATAGTTTAAGAGGCCTCTAGAACAATATCAAGCATAACAACATCCACATCATAGGAGTACCAGAAGGAGAAGAGAAAGAGCAAAGAATTGAAAACATTTTGAAGAACTAATGTTGGAAAAATTCTCTAACCTGGTGAAGGAAATAGACATATAAGCCCAGGAAGCACGTAGAGTCCCAAACAAGATGAACCCAAAGAGGCCCACACCACAACACATCATAATTAAAATGTCACAGGTTAAAGACAAACAGAGAAACTTAAAAAGCAGCAAGAGAAAGGCAGTTAGTTACCTATAAGGGAGATCCCATAAGACTATCAGATGATTTCTCAACAGAAACGTTTCAGGCCAGAGGGATTGCCATGAAATATTCAAAGTGATGAAAAGCAAAGACTTACAACCAAGACTACTCTATCCAGCAAGGCTACAATTTAAAGTTGAAGGACCGATAAAGAGCTTCCCAGACAAGAAAAAGCTAAAGGGGTTTATCACCACCAAACTAGTATTACGAGAAATGTTAAAGGGACATTTTTAAGAAGAAGAAAAAAAAAGACTTAGAATATGAAAAGTAAAATGGCAATAATAACATATTTAGCAACAATTACTTTAAATGTAAATGGATTAAATGCTTCAATCAAAAGATAGATAAATGAATAAAACAAGACTCAAATATGCTGCCTACAAGAGACTCACTTAAAATCAAAAGACATGGATTGGTTCCATAGTGTAGTGGTTAGCACATCTGCTTTATACACAGAAAGTTCTGGGTTCACACCCCAGTGGAGCCACGGTCCACGGTCTATGGCCATGCCACCCTGAACAACCCCGTGTCTGATCTTGGAAGCTAAGCAGAATAGGGCCTGGTTAGTACTTGGATGGGAGACCACCTAGGAAGACAAGGTGCTGTAAGCATAAATAATAATAAATAATAATAAAAATAAATAAATAAATCAAAAGACACACACAGATGGAAAGTAAAGGAATGGGAAAAGATATTTCACAAAAATGGAAACAAACAAAGCTGAGGCAGCAATACTTATACAGACAAAATAGACTTTAAAACAAAAGCTAAACCAAGAGATGAAGAAGGACCTAGTAATCTCACTTTTGAGTATTTATTCAAAGAAACCCAAAACACTACCTCAAAGAGACATGTGAGTCCATATGTTCATTGCAGCATTATTAACAATAGCCAAGGTGTGGAGGCAACCTCTGTGTTCATTAATGGATGAATAGATAAAAAAAGAGATGGTACATAGATACAGTAAAATATTACTGAGCCATAAAAAGAAATCTTGCCATCTTCTACAACATAGATGGACCTAAAGGGTGTTGTGCTAAGTGGAATAAGTCACACAGAGAAAGACAAATGCCATATGATTTTATTTACAGATGGAATCTAAAGAATAAAACAAACAAACAAACAAAACAGAAAGAAACTCATAAATACAGAGAATATTTTGATGGTTGCCAGATGGAAGGAGGGATGCGGGTGGGTAAAAAGGGGGACACAATTAAGAAGTACAAATTGGTAGTTACAAAATAATCATGGGGATGTAAAATATAGCATAAGGAGTCATATAATATTGTAATAACATAGTCAGTAATATTGTAATAACTATGTATAGTGTCAGAGGGTTACTAGATTTATTGGGGTGATTACTTTGCAAATTATATAAATGTCTAATCACCATGTTGCACACCTGGAATTAATATAATATTGTATACCAACTGTATTTGAAAAATTAAAAATTAATGAAAAAGAATTACAAGGTTACTGATGTTATTTAATTTAGCCTACTGGCCCAGAGAGAGTGGAAGTGATGTGGGAGAATGCATGCCCATTCGGCAGGTGAGGGAGAGAGATGTAGGAAGATGAGGCTCCTTACCCCCTGCTCTGGCCTCCAAGTGTTCCCATTAGAGAGTAAACCCATGTTAAAGCTGCAATTAAGGCAGACAAGGTCATAAGCTAGTATGAAGGAGATATATTTCAAGATATAACCTAACACCCAGAAAGTGAAATCTGATATGATGCACAATATCTCTAGGGCCAACTTGCATGCTCCTGCGACGTGAGAAAGAGAAATCCTAGCCACTGAAGCAGAGAAATTATAAAAAGAAGTTCAATAACTTGCAGGGAAGTGCTGAGCTCCCTGGGAGAAAGTGGATCTGTAAACTCAGGTTGGAGTGACAGTCTAAATAGGGCTATTGAAGTATGAGAAAACAGAGGTTTTTAGAAATATAGAATTCTAGAGCCTGAAGGAAGAACCTTCAACAGAATATACAGGTACAGAAATCCTTCGTGTCTACCCCTAACCATGCATTTTCTAATTCCCACAGTGAAACAATTTTGCTGCTTCCGAGTACAGTTAGTCTATTAGCGACCAGTCCTAATTGCCAAGGACTTCCTCCTGTTAAGCTCGAGTTTGCCTTCCAGAAAAACAAACTTCTATACCTGAATTTGGCCCTCTGTATCCTTGTCTAATGGAACAAGCCGGGTCATGTCAGGCCTTCAAAAATTTGAAGACCACTGCCATGCTTTCC